CAGGAATGTTTTCTTCTTCTACGTAATTTATTACGCTCTGTGATATGAGAACTGACATTTTCACAGAAAGCTACAATACCTGTTAAATCAGATCATAATTTGGGATTAGGGAAAAAAAGTTACCATTAACTATATTACTTTCTTAACCTTAAACTTGTACAAATACACCTCCATTGGCAGGAGTGAAAATAAGGCCCCATAGCTCAGCTCTCAAAATGCCCACCCCTCTCTTCCCAAGACCCACACTCATCTCTCTCTTAACTTATCCAAACCCCAAACTCCAGACCCATCCCCCAAACCCTCCTCCTCACCACCACCCACAAATAAAAGAAAGCGCTCCACAGCCTCTCCTGCTATGTTCTCCATCTCAGTAAACGGCCACTCCAGCTCCATTCTTCCAAGGTCAAAACCTTGGAATTATCCATGACTTATCTCGACCCTTTACACTCTACATTCAATCTATTAGCTAATCCTTTGGTTCTACCTATAAAATGTATTTCACATCTGGTCACTACTCACCACCTCCATCACAACCACCCTGGTCCAGCCACCGTGACCTCTCACCTAGATCCCAACTGCTCTCCCTTCCTCCATTTTGCCTTTCCCACAGTCTATCCTCCACAAGGCAACCAGGTGACCTTTTGAAAATGTAAGTTGGACCAGAGCTTCTTAAATCATGACATACATCAGAATCACCTAGAGCCTGTAAAACACAGATGCCTGGGCCCTTCCTCAGAGATTCTGACAAGTAGGTCCTGGTGCAGCCCCTGTATCAGTATCTTTAACATGTTCCACACACCTGCCTTTGCTCAATTTGCTCCCTACATTTGGAACACCACTCCTAAATCACTGAGCTGCATCTTGGCCATCCTGTGCTCAAAACTCCCCAACAGTTGTCCTCTCACTCGAAATAAAAACCTCAATTCTTTATCATAGCCCAAAAGGCCCTGCTTGACCTATTCCAGCCCCTCTCCATGTCCGTGAGCTTGTCTACCACTCTCTTTCGCCTTCATTTTGCTCAGGCTACCCAGGGTTTCTGTTCCAACGTCACCTGATCAGAGCGTCCCTGACCGCTGTGTACGAGACAGCCATCACCCCCACTATCGCTCCTCATTACATCACCCCGCCTTACTTTTCCATGCAGCACTTAGCATCACTCAAGAAACCTTTGTGTTTTGGTTTCTGGGATTTTCGTCTGCCTCCTCATCGTCCACCCCACCTCCAAAATGCAGCCCAACGGGAGTAGAGACTATTCCTGTTTTGTTTGATGCTGAATCGCCAGCATGTAGAACAGTGCCTGGCACACAGCAGACACCAATATCTAAGAATGAATGAGCATGCCTACACTGATGCGCCCACCTGGAATTCTTCACCCATCTTTAACTTTCTAACAAACGGAAACATTCCTTCAAATTCCACCTCAGGGGGATCCTCCTCTGGGACCTCCTCCCCCTTCCTTCCCCTAACTCTGTCCTGCCCCCACCCTGGTCAGTTTCACCCAGTACACCTATGTGTCATGCATATCTGCAGTATTACACTTATAATAACATATCACAATTATTAATTTACTTTGAAATCCTTGAAAACAAGATCATGTCTTACCTTTTCATCCTCAGCAACTAAGGAAAGGCTCGGTGCATCGTCATTAAATGGTTACGGAATTAACAGGAGCATTTTATAATTACAGAGGCTATGTGCACCCTAAATTTTAATGTTACACCTGGTGAATCTGGTTAAGGTGTAAAAGAGAGTTCTTTGTACTACTCTTACAAGTCTTCTGTAAGTTTGCAATTACTTTAAAATAAAAATTTTAAACACACATGCAAATGTCTGACAAAGCCCTTATTTAGATCAAATATTTTTCCTCACTATAATATCACACACGACTGGAATGAGCACAGTAAAGAAAAGTAGTTATAGACATTGACCTCAGTTGTTAAAAAGAAAAAAAAATTGAAAATCTTAAGATTTTCAAATCTTGTTACCTCTCTCCCCCAATCTGTTATGTGGATGGTATGTGTATCACCTTGAGATACATAAAACTTTAAAAGTTATCACTCATAGATTGTGACTAATATTAAAAGACTTCAGAGTTAGATCCCTTTAGACTAAGATTAAGCAGAAAATGGTAATAGTAAAAAAAAAAAAAAAAAAAAAAAATTGAAGCTGCCTTGCCTTAAGCCACCTGAAAGATATTCTTTAAACGAATCTATTAAGGAAAGGTGATCTACCTTTGTCATACAGTTTTGAGAAAATGCAATTCTACACAGCCATAATTGAATAACAGTTCGATCTAACAGTAGTCTGTTGTAAGTCTGTAATTTACAATGCTTCAGGTTATCACTGACAAGTTGAATAATACACTGTTTCTGCCCTATGGAGACTTAGGGCTCTCTAACGTACTGGAGGAGAAAAGAGGTGACTGGGGTAAGAGAGAAATGGCTGAAATAAAATTGGTTGGCTGAAGTTGGGGGATGGGCACATGAGGGTTCATTACGATCCTCTACTTTGTGTACTTAGGGGGAATATTAGAGCAGGCTTTGCTGATCATTCAGCATTACACGCCTGGAATTCTGGTAATCTCTGCATTCATCCACCCATCCCTTCTTTACTGTTAAGTTTCTTTTTTTTTTAACATCTTTATTGGAGTATAACTGCTTTACAATGGTGTGTTAGTTTCTGCTTTATAACAAAGTGAATCGGTTATACATATACATATGTTCCCATATCTCTGCCCTCTTGCGTCTCCCTCCCTCCCACCCTCCCTATCCCACCCCTCTAGGTGGTCACAAAGCACCGAGCTGATCTCCCTGTGCTACTCCGGCTGCTTTCTGAATGGGAGGAACTTCACAAGTCTTACCTTCAAAAATTCAGAAGCGCCTAAAACAGTTTCTTGTGCATGTTAAAGAACTGTTAAATGTTTCCTGAATTGAATTTGATCGTCACATCACATTTATGAATTTAACAGGAGAAAACAATCTACCACAGCTGACAGTTATAAAATGATTCCCATGAGCCAGGCTTCTAACAAATCAAGAATTTGATCTCAAGTGCGCCCAGTAAATCAGATTATGTTCTTCGACATCCAGGTCTCCCAATCCCTCCCTCAGAGGCTTCTCTTTTGATTAGCAGTGCTTCCCCTCTTAAATGAATCCTTTCAACAGGTTCCATTCTCACCTAAAAACAAATACCTTCTCCCCCAACATCCCATCCTTGGCTCTCATCATTCTCAGAAATTCCCTGTCAGCCTCAAGCCATCCCCCCCTCCCCCTCCCCCTCCCAGGACCAGGCTCTCCTCTCCATCATCCCGACATCCAACAGACACGTATGCGCAACCCACCCACAGACAACCTAGAGGTCTCAATTTAAAAGTCACTTCCCCCAGTGAGGTTTCCCTGACCGGCCACTCCCCTCCCAGACCAGCTTAGGGCCTCCTCTCTCCCTCCTCCTTTCTCAGTCTTCCTTAAAGATACACTGCACTTAGGTGCAGTGACTGTGTTCCCAGGCAGGAAGCACGTCTGGTTTGGTCACCACTGTTTCCCCCATGCCTGACACGTTTCCAGGAACAAAGGACAGGCTCAACAGGCATCAGGTGAACGAAGGCAGCCCAGGGGGCAAGGCCTCATCTGTTCTGCAAATTATTTCCAGGGCACCATCATGTGCAAGGCCCATGACAGCCTTTAGTGGATTCCTATCAAGCCTTCAACAAGCTTACCGTTCACTAGGAGACATAAAAGAACTTCATCACGAAAAGGGCATTCACACGTCACCTTACAGTTCATGAGATGCTTTTATATCTGTGATCTATTTGATTTTCCAATAATCTTAAGTATTATGTCTCATTTTACAGATGAGAAAACAGGTTTCATACACAAGTAATTTGCCCAACATAATTCAAAAAGCAAATGTGTAGTATCCAGATAAATCCAAGTCATAATTTAAGGTAGAACAGTGCTGGAGAAACCCAAAGTCCTATGAGAGCTCTGAAGAGAAGTTCCTACTCTTACTGGAATATCATGGAAGTATCACTTTGTGTTGATCAATGAAGAATGGGTCCACTGGTGGGAAATGAAAGAAGGGCACACCAGGCAAAAGGGACAGAATGAACACAGAGAGTGCTGAGTGACTATGCAGTGTATGTCCAGGAAACAATGAACAGCGTGGATAGGGAATGTAAGTAAAAAGTTAGAGCTACGACTGGAAAGTGAGGGTGGTTAGATCTGTAATCTCTGCGAGATAAGGGCTGTCTCTCTTTTGTTCTTATGGCCCCAGAACCTATTACAGGACAAGAGCAAGCAGAAACATCAAAGATAACTGCCAAACTGAGTGACTGTATAGGTATACTAAACATGCCTCTTCTGTAGGACTCTGCCTGCCCATAGCTCCCACTATCCTCAACAGCCATGTTCTCTACCACCAGCCACAACCAGTGATGAGCATATGAGGACACGTGACTGCTCAAAAAGATAAGCTGGGCCAATCAGATTCCTCTCTCTAGAACTGGAAATTAGAAACCAGAGACCCAGTCATTGCAGACCATGAACAAAATGATACAGTTTTGAGGCAGCCAGTCAGCAGAGAGAGGATCCAACGATGTGAACAGAGAAGACTCCTCGTAAGTGAGAAAACAAATTTGGCCCCTGAGAGATCTACAGAAGGTGGAGCTGCCTTAGATCCCAATTTCTTTCCGATTCTCAGTCAGTCCTGCAAATCTCCTTTTCCCTGAGGTAAAAGAGTAAATCTCTGTCCCTCGCCTTCTAAACAGCCCTAATACTGTAGCAGAGAAACTGAGCAAAAGCAGGAAGAGGGGGATGGCACACTGACATGATCCTAGGAAAAATTTCCCCCAGCAGTGTATGAGGCCCAGAATCGGAACCCTGGATACCAGTCAGACAACCACCAGAAGAGCCCACAGGAGAGGGGACAGGCGGTAGGGATGCAGAAGAAATGAGAGATATGAACTTGAACAGTATAAAATCCCCCATATTGGACCCCTTGACCTACCAAAATATCCAGAAGAGAGATTCTGAATGTAGAAATTTTAAAAATTATGTGACCAGAAAT